GCTGTATTCTTCAGGTATTTGCTCAAATAAACGACAGCTGCGAACTAAAAATTCCATCTGGGCATGATAGATACAGGATAAAGTTTTGTAGCCAGTTCAGATGTCTTTTCTCTTAAGTATATATATATATATATATAATTTATTTCCTAAACAAGTTGTATTAACTTGTTTTCGCACTAAATGGATTTAAGATCATACAACATTATATATATATATATATTAAGTGAAAACAGAAAAAGCTGGTTTTATTTTAGCTCTCATGGTATTTAATTTTTTGAATTATTTATAAATATATCAGGAGCATATTTCGCTTTATGCGAAATGCATGAGTAATGAAAAATATGGTTTCCAACAAATATTTTCAGTAAATTGAACTAAGAAGTCATGAAGGAGGTAAAGTCTGTTAACAGACCTTTTATTTCAGAGTATTATATTTCATATTTCTTCAGTATTTCAACTACTAATTGTTTGTATTTGATAAAAGCATAACTATTCTGTTTCTGAATCAATAATTTTCAAAAAAATCTGAAAGATTTCAGTTTTAAACATTCGGTAAAGATTTGTTACTCTCTCACTGAGCTCGCAGTCTACAAGTCTGCTGTTACACTTGTTCCTGCTAGCCTCTCCCCCTAATTTTTCCTTTTTAGCTTTATTATTGAACAATTATTTTCTTCGCACTTACGTCGTACACAGTTCAATAGCAAAATCACGAAAATTTTAAAAGCGGCATATGTTTAGAATTCCAGAAACAGTGTTAACTGTTGGCATACATTTTTCAGTCTTTTCTTAGTTTATCATATCAATATTTAGTTTTCTTAGTTTAATCAATATTTCAATCAATATTTAGTTTTTTTAGTTTAATCAATGTTTCAATCAATGTTTGTAATCAATTCAATGTTTAGTTCCACATTTTTTTTTTATTATTATTATTAGCATTTTGTGCGTTAACTTCGTTTATTAAATACCATGTTTTTCGTACCTACGTCACATAAAATTACGTACTTGCGCAATAATTCGACAGCAAAATCACAAAACATTTAAAAACACCATACCTTTAAAATTTCGGATAGATAGTCTCGCGCACTGAAGAAAAAATGTTTTATTTCGTACAGTGTTGCCATTACTGCCTTTTAGATCTTCAAGTTTGTTAATCAGAAGTTCATTAAAGAATAATAAAATATGAAAAAAATGTAGAGAAGACACGGTGACTAAGCATGACCATAATCACCACTACAACTCATCAAGTTATTGCTAAAGGAGAATTTATTTATATACATTAGAATGAAAATAAAAGTAAGAAAGAATAATCATCAAAACATTTTCATACGTCTATCCTCACTATCGTTCACCTTTCGTCTGACCGCGCGCTCATCTAGGTGGCGCTTTAACATAATCTCAGTTCCCATAAAAATATTAAAAAATATATAACATCATTCTATGAAAACATTGGATATTTTTAATTAAATAGATCATGAATTAAATACGTTTTTATCATTTAAATCAATCCGATTCAAAAGAAGTTCTTATGAATTTCATGTATTACTTTCAAATAGTTTGCTTTATTAATCCACGACAGGCAGATTCAATTTGAAAGCTAAATATCTTATATTTTGCCGAATGGCAACAGACTGGAATGAAAAGGGAAACGACGCATTTATAGTGAATCGACGCAAAATCCCATTTCGAGACTAATATTTTGGGGCTAATAAGACTGCAAGTAAACACATCTTCCTCGTTTATCAGTTGTTTCATCGACAATCACAACCACTAATTTATAGTTTCTCTTTATATTTCAAAGTATATCCAAAAGGAAGTTTAACTGAAACAGACACATGTGCTACTAAACAATCACGTACAACTGTGCCATCTAATTCGTATAGAAGAATAATTAACCTTTAAATGCATTTTCACAGTCTCCTCAACAAATTATTCTTTATTCATTTTGGTATGTTTTCATTCTTGAAAATTATCGACAGTTGCCGCTTAACCCCGTATGAGACTGGGTGGGTACTTCGTCTTAAAACAAATAATGCTACTTGTATGCTTCATCAGAATATCCTTCTTGTGACCTATCAAATGTATACAATATCTATACATAATGATATGTGGGTCACTTTGTAGCCTTTTGATTTTCAGACCCGAGAAGCGTGAAGAATCCTGATGCCCTCGCCCGAGATTCGGACTCCAGAAGCTTCCAATAGCTAGCGGAAAGAACATTCTAATTACCCAACGAAAGACACGCGGGAAGGAAGAGGAAAATTTCTTATAACTTGTAGAGTCATTAGGTTAATCGGAAAATGAAAACTGAGCAACGCCTTCGCCGGGAGTCGAACCACGGACTTTTGGAATACGCGTCCAGCGTGCAGACCACCACACCACGAAGGCATGCCAAGAAGGCGGGAGAAATTAAGTATAAATCCTCTTGTACAAACTCATTTTTATAGTGACCCATACTAATAAAAATTTACAGTAACCAGATTCAACTATCTATTCAGAAGCCAAAGCAAAAGAAACGTACATTTATTCCACAGTTTGTGACACAACCGAATTGTCTGAGCGAGACGGTCGGCGCAGAACGAGTGAGCAGGTACGCACAGAATGCACGTGGTGCGATGTAGAATGTCGCTGGAAGGCAAGCGTTACGTGAACTTAACGTATTATCTAAAATACCTATTCTTCACCCATTTGCCTTCAGAAAGATGTCCATAAACAATAGCTCATACTTTATCGTTAACACTGCTACATTTCCTTTTGTCGTTATGGGACAAAAGTCAACAGGTTCTTATATCTTTTGAGCAGAATCTCCCCTGATAATAATTTAATTAACGTGACATTTGCCAATATTGTCACCAAACTTTTTTTAAATTAATTTTTTATAAGTCCAAATATGTGTAGTAATGCACACAGATTTTTAACGCAAAAGTCAAAAAGAAATATAATAATGATTAATTATAATAAAATTATTAAAATTAATGAAATAATTATAATGATAATTTACTAACGCATTATTATTATAACTTTACTAAGAAATTCTCTATTAATAAGAAATTTGGTACTTTTCCGTTTCGCCGGCGCAAATCTCGCGAAGCAGACTTTATTGGCGACAACATACAGTATACAGATAAAAAATATTTTAAAAATGTTAGTTCTAAGAATTCTTAAAAAAAAAAAGAAGGCATAAACATTTAAATATTGCTTAAAATTTTATAAAAAGCCAATAAATAAAGACAATAAATTTGTAAAAAGACATAATTTAAGAATTTACTATGCTTTCATGGTTCAACATCCTGAATCCAACTCAGAAATTATGTAAAACTGTAGTGCTTTACTTCGCTAATGCATTCTCATTAGAATGGATGAATTAGAATTCTCATTAGAATTGACTTTACCTTTTCTATATTTTCGGCTTCAGGTAAGCGCTGTGATTGCTTCCTAATTGACTTAATTACCGAAAATTGCCTTAAACATAAAACTGAACTATCTGATAAAAATTCTATGTAATTATATGCCAGTATTGAAAGAAACAATCAATCTGATAAGAAAAAGCTGCGACTTGTTTTGAAAATGAGGCGTAAAAGGTTACCAGCGAGAATATTCGGTTTGGCATCGGTTGTACCATTATTGGCGACTTTATCGCTTGCGCCGGCAAAACGAAAATTTTTTTATTGTATATACATGCGTATATACATGCATTTTAGTTAAAAGATAAAAGAAATATATAATGCGTATTAATTATAGTAAAATTGTAATAACTATTTATTATCGTATTTTTTTTTTTTTTTTTTTTACCAAAGTATAAGTAACTGTATAACCAAATGAATTAATGCACAAATCAAACAATTAATTACAAATGAATGATTAGCATATTATCTTATATTACCTAAAAGCAGTTTTCTCCCTTCTTAAGTTTCTTAAATCTGTGCTCTTTGAACACATTGAGAATAAACAAAGGAAAATTGTATGGAGGAAATCCCTACTACATGATTTATATCCATCCACCCTATTTCGCGAATAAATCGATCCGAATGTCGCATGCGTGTTTACATGATCGTTCATTCAGAGTTGCTCATGGTTTATGCTCATGGTATGCGAGAAAGGGCGAGTTGCTAGTGTGCTGAAATTAACAACAGCTTCAAGATTGTTTCTTACTCAAATATTGGCCAACTGTTTAGTTTCAGCTATTGGCAAAAAAGTTATAGATTTCCCTTCCATCTAAAGTTGCCTATCTTAGCCTTGCATAACTTTCCGATTGTTGGATGCATATTTAATATTTGCATTTCTTTTTTTTTTTTCTTTATATTTTATTTCCTCACTGCTTAATTTTATGTTATGATTTTTGCAATAATCTTGTTACTGGCAAACGTGCTTTATTTACTATTAAGTTTGTGTGAGTGGCAAAAGTTGTTCATTTTTTATTGTTTAGAATAGCGTGTCTTAGCCGCACTGCGTGCAGGCAATTTTTTCTTCTCTTAAAGAATTTTACGTTTTTAGATACAATAAAGTTTATTATACAAAGCTGATGCTTTTTAGTTCAAGGCAACTACCGATCAACTAAATATTTTCGTCTCTCGAAAATGCAAATAAGTTTTAATAATGCTGCAAATGTTCTTAAAAATTACCATTGGATATGTTGCAACTAAAATGTTTTTTAATATATATCAATTATATATATGCCATTAAAAATAAAATAAAGTTTAAATTATTAAGAAATGAGTTCATTGCTTTAAACTCGCTCGGGTTACTAAACATTTACAGATTGATTAAATTTCACATGTAAATAAAAGTGTACATGCTACCAGTTACACCATACAGGCACGTAGTGAGGAAGGTGTGCATTGCTTATAAGGCAACAGCTCGAAAATTTTTCAAAGACTTCTCACTAAGTGCGCTTTTATAGTGAACATAACGGTCTTTAAAATTTCAAGCAACACTGTAATAATTCTCAATATGTAGCGTTTAGTAATCAGTAAATGACGGAAGAGAATTTCATTTTTACTTACGCAACGAAGATTTTGTCGGATAAATGGATTCGAATTATATAAGAGTTGACTTTACTATCATGTCAAGGAAGAAGTGACGACGAAAGACAAGATTAAAGATGAAAACAATAATTGAATAACGACGAGATAGAACACCAAACCAAATAAAAAAACGAAAAAGCGCGCGAAGTATCTTGCCACTTGGCGAACTTCCCAAATACCATATCACCTGGCATTGAAATTCCAGCGACTTGGCGATGGCAAAAAATCGCAAACTTGGCGCCAACTCACTCGAGGGAAAAAAGCTCTGCTACTTCTTCTCCGTCAACACCAGTTTCAGGAAGCGAGAAGATTTCAGAAAGAAGTAAACAAGAATAACAAAAACGGCGGCAGAAAGAAAAGTCTGAAACTCGTCTCCGTCAATACGGGCAGTAAATCAAAGCTGTTTTGATTTCGGAACACTCTTTTGTAGATGGTGTCGTCCACCAGAAGTGGAATTTCGGAGAAGCAACACGGAAGTAATGTCATTTTTTCTATAAGGTTCTTCGAAAGCGCTGATATTGGTGTTCACCTGTTATTCCGGAGCCCGAGACTTTGTTGATGACTAGTATCAGTACAGTACTGAGTTAAAGTGACCGATTTCACTAATTTGATCTGCATGTTAGCGCTGATTTTACAGAGAGAGAGCTCTAGTTATAGATCCCGAGCATTTTCACCGCATATATATATGAATTTTTTTGAAAACGTCCTCCACTAGTCATTCCATTCTTTAAGCTGATAACTTCACCAAAATCTACTTAAGGGGGAAAAGGGAAAAGAGGAAGCAATTATGAGCTGAATTTTAAACCGTTTCAAATTCCAGAGGATTTTGCAGGAGGTACATTATGCAAGCAACATTAGAAACATATTTTTACTAATAACAATAATCCTCTCATATGATCATAAATATTATTATCAAGTAGCCATATTATAAGCTGTATACATTTTTATTTATATTCCATTCGTTATTTATTTATTTATTTATTTATATTCGATTCGTTTTTTATTTATATTCCAGTATCCATTCGATATGCCATTAAGAATAAAACGAATACTTAACATGAGAAGAAATTCGTTTTTCTTCATTAATTGCTCAGTTCAGTTATCATCTTAAAAATAAATTAAAGATTCTATATCATATCATAAGGCAACATTCTAGAAGCTCTCTACTTCTAGGTCACGTGTATTGTGAATAAAAGTATGTGTAACGCAACAGGTCATATCGATACTAAATGGCATCTTAACAATACAGTAGCATAACTGTACTTAATGCAACGTTCCAAAAATTCTGGAAACACTTCGAGGTCTTTCGAAGATAAAAAAAATATGTGATGCAAAAACATAAAAATATACAGTTAATTTTATCCAATTTTCCCCCCTTTTCATGCTTTGGAAAGAAACGTAGTTCTTTCCAAAGCATAGTAGAAAGTATTTTTATAGAATCGGGCGCTAGGCAAAATCACATCTGACGCTAGAAAACTTTTTAGCAAAGTCTTTAAAATTCTATGACCTAACCGCTGTATTGCGTTACACTATCTCGTATTTACTCTCCGTGTGCTCTGGCAATTCTTGCCTTGCTGTGAAACGTAAACTCTTTATCTGTACGGCCTCGCATTACTATCCAGCAAAGCATAGTCTTTAGTTATCTTTTTCGTTTAATTAATCTGTTGCTGATTAAAAAACTGAACGATGGAAAAGAATAAATGCTCCTCTTAAGAATTAACACTTTGTTTGTATTAGTATTTTAATAATATGCCTGGTTGATAAAAATTAAATTTGTAATCTACCGAATATTTTAATATTTATTTATAATCTATCCAACTGATAATTTTTGTGATTGCTTGCAACGTTATTATATTTAATTAGAGATATTTATAACACACGATAACCCTGAAACAGGAAACGTATGTAAAATTATTGTTTTTACGAAATTCTGCCACATTTATTTTTTTAATGTTATTTTTTCCTTGAAACTGTGGTCAGCTCGGGAAATAATTATCAAAATCGGAATATAATTAATTCGAATAATTTCCTTATAAATCTTCTAACATCGGCGAGTAGACCTTTAGAAAAAAGACAGTCTTGGCAACCCTGTTCGGCATCCATGGAATGAGCTGCTCGTCTGGCGTGTTCTTTTAATGGACGATGTTTAAAAGGAACATATTTCGTCCCTCTGGGTGGCAACGAAGTCTCGGGGAAGATGGAATTTAACGGTAAATTAAGCTCACAAAATGCAGCAGACGATAAACCTGAGCAAACCGGGAAGTATCTTCCTTGTTTATATTTCCGATGAGCTGGCTGGTAATTTAATGCAGGTGAAAATAAATAAAAAAAGGGGCAACAATCTGTGCGTTGAAAAAGAGACGCAATAATGATTTCATAGGTGTTGCAGCTTAGACGATTGTCGAAATAATTTTTATTTTCTGAGCTCACGTTTCTAAGCATCAAGTCAACCAGGTTTATTAAAATTAGTACCCTGTTTTAAACCTCGAAAAAGGTGTTATTTATTTCAATTTCCTTAAAATTGCAAAAAGTAGACATTTTTGCCAATGTGCAATGCACAAGGTCTTTCATTTATCTTCGTTGTTAAAATTATGCGCAGCTGAATACAGTGCTAATCATTTAAAATGTCGTTTCTTTGGGCTTCTTACAATTTTTTGCAATAATTGTTATAATCACGAGTGTCATTAAAATAAGTTTCTCACATTCTGTAAAAATGCCGTAGAGAATTTTTAATTCCATTTCTTATGTAAGATTTTGCTTACGTTAAAAATAAACTCTAAAAGTAAGCTGACCCTAAGGAAAGTTTTGAACGAAATAGCACATTACTAAGCTCAATTTGTTAACGTCGACAACACTGGTATCTTTATTTGTCACGATTAACTCTCATTTTGCTTCTGTTGTACGAATACCCCACTTTTGAATCACGGAAACATGGTCAGCATATTTTATGCTGATTATAACATTTTGTAGTAAAATTAAGATTGAATAATTTTACTACAAAATGTTATAATCAGCATTAATACATTGAATTAAATTAAATTAAATTAAATGTAATAATCAATTAAATAAGAATTCTTCGTGATTTTCTTTTCTTCTTCTTCTTCTTTTATATATATATATATATATATATATAATATATAATTTTTGTTTAAATTGTGATGTGTTTTTTCCATTTATTTCCGTTTACCTATTTATATACTATTTTTTACTTTTCGAAAAGAAACCCAAGAACATAGTATATCGGAGCATTTGAAACGGAAGTTTTTTTCAGCTTGAGTTTTAATGTCCTTCAACAGTATAGATTTAATTTTAAGTATCGAAAAATATATATACATATCAGAGCCGAGACAAGAATGAGGTAAGTTAGGAACTTGTTTTAAGTGAACTACTAAAATAGGAGCCAATTTAGGTACAAAAACTTAAAAAGAAATCATGGTTGTTTATGTTCAGCACTGAGCATATCAAGAAGCACAGATTTAAAGTAGCAAAATTTTATTGACATTACTTATGATAATATAAAAATATTGCGTTTTTGATGTATCTTTTAGGGAAATACAGCAATGCCTAGGAAACACCATGCTGCTGATATTAGCAATTTTCTTCTGTTTCTTTGCAGTCCAAACGCGTTAACTCTCAGAATTATCTCTTCGTGATAACAAGGATTCCTTAACTGGCTTCTAAAATTTATTTTAGCAGATCTAACACACTTAGTTCATCGGAATGACATTGGAAGATTAATCAAAGATGTCTAAAAATGAAAACACCCTAGTATGAGCTTCTTCCTCTATTTTTCTTGTAATGTTTAGCTAGTTTTATTTTTCCTTATAAAGTTCGACATTGAACAAACGTGCACTGCGAAAAAAAAAAAAAAAAAAAAAAAAAAAAAACGGAGAGTTCTATATATATTTATATATAAGATATAAAATCCTCGTCATGATGATGAAACAGAATTATAAGGAGGCCATAAAAACGTAAAAGTGGCAATGTTAGATCTCTGAGTTAGTACGCTCTACATACACGAAAAAAAAGGGAAGGGACAGTTCTATATCTTCCGTTCTACTGGGCCGATTGATAAAATTCAAATTGCGTTTTTCATATCTCGAAAGCGCGACTTAGGATATTTATTAAATTTATGTATAGTACTGTTCTAACATAGGTATTTTGATACAAAATCCGTCTTTTTCTGAAATAACATAACAATTTTTTTTCCATATTTTGATTCTACCGTTCAAATTATGCATAAATATTGAATTTTGTAAAATGTGCGAAATTTACGGAGAAATTCAAAAATTTATCTTGGCAAATTTTTTTTCAGTTTGTGTCATGAAATTTCACTTGGCGAACTTTTTAATATATGCCAACCTATTTCCCTTTCCCTTCCATTGTGCAGGAGCGTAAAAAAAGTTACATCGTTCCTATTTCCATGTAATTTTAACAGAATGCCTAAACCACATTTGATGTTATTATCGCATTTAACAAATATGCCGAATTTTAAAACGCGCCAATATATAATTTCACGTATATCTTTGGAAAGTTTGAAAACTGGAATTTTTTGCAGATATGCTTAGAAGTACATCTACTTTAAGATGATGGTAAACATTTTATAGATTATAATTCAAAACTTTTTTGAAAAATTTACAAAAATTATTTAAAGATACAAATTTTAAAATTAAATCATAAAAAATGGATGAATTTTATTTCGAATGAGCCTACATTTCGAAATGTGAAAAAAGAATCAAATAAGTTTAATAAAAAAGAAATATTAATAAATATATACCAAACTCAATATTAACCCTGAAGAGCTAAAATTTTGAGAGCTAATTTTTTAGAAACTACTCTTGGGAATTTTACAAAACTTGGCAGTTTGGCGTAATTTGAGGCGTAGAATTGAAATATGGAAAAAAATTGGCATGTCATTTCAGAAAAAATGGGATTTTGTTTCAAAATACCTATATTAGAACAATGCTGTATTTGGCCCTTTTTTTTTTTTTTTTTTTTTTTTTTTGCAGTACAGAATTTACGCTGTATATGCAGAATGAATAAACTGGTCGACGCGACCAAATTAATAATGTTTCTTTTTTATTTAGTTGATCGAACATTTCAATAAACAACATAAATAATTGGGCATCCTGGCGTTTATCTTTATCGGGGCCATAA